GATGTCTCAACCTGCTGAGGCAACTAGTCATGTTGCTCAAAGAGGTATGGCATTCCATGTTGAACGTAGTAATCGTTGGATCCTTGATTCAGGGGCCTCTGATCACATGACAGGTAATATAACCTTATTTTTCTCCTATACCCCTTACTATCACCCGTCACGAATAAGAACAGCTGGTGGGAATTTCTCCACTATTGCAGGAAAGGGATCCATTAAACTTTCTGAGCATATTATTTTGAACTTAGTACTTCATGTTCCCTCTCTTACTTGTAATCTCATCTCTATTAGCAAACTTACTGCTGAGTTGCATTGTGTTGCTAAGTTCTCTGCAAATGCTTGTATCTTTCAAGAACAGGACTTGGGGATGATGATTGGCAGTGCTAGAAAGGAAGATGGGCTCTACTATTTTACAGAGGTTCATTGTGAAAAGAGGATTTTTTCGAACCACTCTCTATGTTTATCAGATGACTGTAATGATGTTTTGTTATGGCATCGTAGGTTGGGACACCCAAATTTTGTTTACCTCCAGAAGTTATTCCCGAACTTATTTATCAATAAAAAGACAAGTTCCCTTCTTTGTGATATTTGTCAGCTTGCAAAGCACTCTCGTTTCACTTATTCTCCTAAGAAATATAATGAATCTTCTCCCTTTACTTTGATTCATAGTGATATTTGGGGACCTGCTCGTGAAAAAAAATGTCTCGGGTGCTCATTGGTTTATTACTGTAAAGAACCTTGGGATACACCACCCCAAAAGCTAGCTCAAAGGGTGAGAGTGTCCAAGGCCTTATAAAGGCCACATTAGTTGCACATACAACTAATGTGGGACTATATATCTCAATACGCCCCCTCACACAAGAGCCCATTGGGCTTGAAGAGTGGAAGATGCAACAGGCCCAGCCTACCTGTGCTAAGAAAGTCCACAAGAGAAAGTGGGGGACGGCGAGAGGCTCTGATACCATGTAAAGAACCTTGGGATACATCACCCCAAAAACTAGCTCTAAGGGTGAGAGTGCCCAAGGCCTTATAAAGGCCACATTAGTTGCACATACAACTAATGTGGGACTATATATCTCAACAATTACTTTCATTGATGATCATTCTAGGGTATGTTGGGTATATCTCTTAAAAGATAAGTCTGAGGTAGCATCCACTTTTAAAAACTTTCATGCTATGATTCAAACTCAATTTCAGACCTCTATCAAAATTCTGCGAACAGACAATGGTACTGAATATTTTAATTCAGTTTTTGGAGATTACCTAAACCAGCATGGAATTATTCATCAAAGTTCTTGTCCTAACACCCCTCAACAAAATGGGGTGGCTGAAAGGAAAAATAGACATCTAATTGAAGTTGCTCGAGCTTTTTTATTCACGATGCATGTCCCTAAATATCTTTGGGGGGAAGCCGTCTTGACAGCCTGTTATCTCATTAATTGGATGCCTTCTCGGGTCCTAAATTTTCATTCTCCTTTATCTTGTCTTACTAAATCTTTTCCCTCTTTCAGTGCTCTTTCTTCTCTTCCTCCCAAAATATTTGGCTGTGTGGTTTTTGTGCATATTCCTCCACATCACAGATCCAAACTCGACCCTAAATCTATTCGATGTGTCTTCATAGGATATTCCCCAAATCAAAAAGGTTATAAGTGTTACTAATATTCTCTCCGTAAGGTTTTTGTTTCCATGGATGTTACCTTTTATGAAACACAATCCTTTTTTTCCCCGACTTCTCTTCAGGGGGAGTCTATTGGTCTTGGTATGGATGAAGATAAGCCTGAGAAACCAAATGATGCTGTTGTCTTACCTTGGCCTTTGGAAACAGGGGGAGTTATTGGGAAGGAAACAAGGGGAGCAACTATACCTGAGTCTAATGATCCTCCTTCTTATCAAGCAACTATACTTGAGTCTAATGATCCTCCTTGTGATCCTCTTGGAAAATGGGGAAAATTTTATAGCAGGCGCAAAACACATCAAGATGCTCTAGACTGCCAGGATCCTGACTCGAGTCCTTGTTCCAGCAATTCACTTGAATGCACTAGTACAACCAACATCGATATGCCTATTGCTCTTCGTAAAGGTACTAGATCTTGCACTGCTCATCCTATTTCCCATTATATCTCATATGAGAAGTTGTCTCTAGGTTTTCGTACTTTCAACACTATGTTAGATAGTACCAGGATACCCAGAAATATCCAAGAAGCACTTGATGACCCAAAATGGAGGAATGCTGTATTAGAAGAAATGGATGCACTTATAAAAAATGGAACATGGGAGTTTGTGACATTACCTAAAGGAAAGAAAATTGTTGGCTGCAAATGGGTATTCACAATGAAATTTAATGCAGACAATAGCATCAATAGGTACAAGGCCAGATTAGTTGCTAAGGGATTTACTCAGACTCATGGGATAGATTATCAGGAGACATTTGCTCCTGTTGCCAAACTTAACACTATCCGCGTTCTGCTATCTCTTGCCGCCAACCTTTATTGGTCATTGCAACAGCTAGATGTTAAGAATGCCTTCTTGAATGGTGATCTACATGAGGAAGTTTACATGGATCCACCTCCTGGTTTTGAAAAAAGGGATGGTTCTGTGTGCAAGTTGCAGAAGTCTCTCTATGGACTTAAACAATCTCCCAGAGAATGGTTTGAAAAATTTACTCAAGTTGTTAAGGGACGAGGGTTCACCCAAGCTCAGACTGATCACACTTTATTTTTTAAACACTCCGACAAAGGAAGAATTGCTATTGTCACTGGTAATGATAGCGAGGAGATAACCTCTTTAAAAAAGTGTTTAGCTGACCAGTTTGAACTAAAAGATCTTGGATCTCTCAAATATTTCCTTGGTATGGAAATTGCTCTGAGTAAGGAAGGAATTTCTTTAACTCAGAAAAAATACATTCTAGACCTGTTGCAAGAAACAGGTATGCTTGGGTGCAAGCCGGCAGAGACTCCAATTGAAGCTAATATCAAGATGGGAGTTGAGGACGGGGAAGATGTTGATAGGGAGCAGTACCAGAGACTAGTGGGGAAATTAATCTATTTGTCTCACATTCGTCCTGATATTGCTTTTGCTGTGAGCATGGTTGTCAATTCATGCATTCTCCTAAGGAAAAACACCTTAGTGCTGTTTATAGAATTCTCAAGTACCTCAAAAATACCCCTGGTCGAGGAATTTTCTTTAAAAAGGGGCACAAAAGGATGATTGAAATCTATACAGATGCAGACTGGGCTGGCTCTGCAATGGACCGAAGATCTACTTTAGGATATTGTACTTATGTCTGGGGAAACCTTGTGACCTGGAGAAGTAAGAAACAAAATGTTGTTGCAAGAAGCAGTGCAGAAGCGGAATTTCGGGCTCTAGCCCATGGTATGTGTGAAGGAATTTGGTTAAGAAGGCTTCTGGAGGAGTTGAAGATCTCTTATTCCCTACCTATCAGATTATATTGTGATAATAAGGCTGCTGTCAGCATTGCTCAAAATCCTGTTCATCATGACAGAAAAAAACATGTAGAAGTTGATCGTCACTTTATCAAAGAAAAATTAGAAGACGGTAGTGTATGCTTGACATATATACCTACCAAGGAACAGACAGCAGATATCCTCACCAAAGGATTACTTAAGCCGACCTTTGAGGATTTGATCAGTAAGTTGGGAATGATCAATATATATCTCCCAACTTGAGGGGGAGTGTAGAATATTCTAGATTGTGATTTATCATTTATTAGTGTCTCTTTGTATTGTACATAAGTCAAAGTTTTCTGCTTGCTATTTATTTATGTAGGTTCAGCTATTTATTGAGGTAGTTGAGGTAGAAGTAGTTGAGGTAGCTTAGTTATTTAGGTAGTTGAGGTAGCCCATTGTACTCAATATAAAAGGACCCATTGGGTCTCTCAATGAATTAAGAAAGTGTTATTCAGACAAAACACTTCTTCTTCTCTTCACGCGGTTTCCATCTGTTCTCCGGTAGGAATCCGATAGATTCGAAAAAATCTCTCTGCTCGATATAACCAGCCATAAGGATCATCATCAGAGAAATAAGGGACCTCCATTCTCCTTCTCCTCTCGTCTTCTTTGACATTTCCGTCCGGGTCCCCTCCCACTTCTTCCTCACCATCTGTTGTAGACCTTCTGCCATTACTCCTTGATCTTCTTCCTCCCAGGTTGTTGATTCTCTCTAGAGTCTCCGTGAGAGTAAAATTCATCTGTTGCACCGAGTTTTCTAAACCTCCGATTCTCCCATTCAGACCCACGTTGCTCTGTTCCATAGCAACTAACCTCTGTTCCAATTCATCGACTCTAGACTCCATCTGTGATCTAACCATTCAATGCACTCTCAGGATCAAGTGCTTTGATACCAATTGATGGCACCAAGGGAATACAGAAATGAAACTGACAATATATTGATAATGAACAACAAGTCGTTCTTACAAATACCAATTCTAACAACGATTCAAATGAAACAGTACTCAAATGAAAATCACCATAGACTCCTTGAGACACTTTAATGAAGAACAATTACAAGAAATTAAAGTATTCAGCTGTAAGATAAAATGACTTCCCAACCCCACTCCTCATCAAGCTACCCTCCACTCCAATTTTGCTTACTGTCTAACTAACTCCCCTCTTTGTTCCTTTTCCTATTTAACCACTGATACCGTTTTCCACCTCTCTCCCACTGAGTTATCTCCATTCAATGCATTCCACGTGTCCTCTTTTATAACAAACTCCCTTGCCATGCTTTTCTTCTCAACGGCCAGCACTACTTGTTTCACCATGCCTTGACCCATTCCAGAAGATGCAATGGGCTGATTACCTTCAGAGGCTGCAATGGGCTGACTAATTTGGGCTTTCTGTTTTTTGTTCTTCCTTCTACGCTCATAAACCCAAATCAGGGGTCCAACAAGTTGCTATTAAAATGCTTTAATGTTTCTGATTTATACCTCTTTTTTTCCAACTAGAGTTTAAATTCTCTATATTTAATTATTTACTTGTCAACAGGGCTCCTATTGGGCAAGGATACGGCTTGACTGAAACATTTGCTGGGGCTGCCTTCTCTGAGTGGGACGACTACAGTGTGGGGCGTGTAGGACCACCTCTTCCTTGTTGTTACATTAAGGTATGCCATATATTCCATTAACAAAAATTCAATGCGGTGAACTTCGAACCTCTACTTATTCATAGATATTGCATGGAATTATGGTAATGATCATTAATTATTAGTTTCATGCTGGTGAGTAATAAAACTTATTGGACTTTGAAGATTAGTAAGTTGGTAACATCTCAGAAATAACAAACTACATGTCTCTTAAACTGTAATAGAGAACTTGTAGTTGGTGCCACTTAAGAGCCTTAAATGAGGAAATTTGATTTATTTATCAATCTGGTTGCATAGCTTATTTCTTGGGAAGAAGGGGGATATCTCACATCTGACAAACCAATGCCACGAGGAGAGATTGTTGTTGGGGGATTCAGCGTGACAGCTGGTTACTTTAAGAATCAAGAAAAAACTAATGAAGTGTTCAAGGTAATTTTCAAACTCACAATTATATGCATGCTATTTTTCTTTTTTAACTTTCTTTAATTGCTCTTAAATCTGTTCGTGCTGATTAATAAGCTGCACTTGTCTTCTTTTAACTTAGTACAGGTTGATGAGACAGGCATGCGCTGGTTTTATACTGGCGACATTGGGCAATTCCATCCTGATGGGTGTCTCGAAATCATAGATAGGAAGAAGGATATTGTTAAACTTCAACATGGAGAATATATTTCTCTTGGAAAGGTGAATATATCTTATCATTCTGGAATCTGGATGAAGTGCTGATTTAAGATTCACAGTAAATTTTTTTGGGTCTTAAATTGTGCTTTCATTTTTACTTGATTGCAGGTTGAGGCAGCACTGTCATCATGTGATTATGTAGATAATATAATGGTTTATGCAGACCCCTTCCACAATTACTGTGTGGCTCTAGTAGTTGCTTCACATCAGTCCCTGGAGAAGTGGGCCCAACAATCTGGTACTCAATACAAAGATTTTCCTGATCTGTGTAACAAACCTGAAACTGTCACTGAGGTCCTGCAGTCCATTTCCAAGGTTAGCTAATATGTGCATGGCTACTTGTTTGGTGGCATATATCCATGATATAATCTATAGATTATCCATTCATGATTTGTCAATAATCAGAATATACATAACACTAAATATGATCAGTTAACACGTGTTGCAAACTATGATTCTATACACATTTGTATAAATTTTCTTATCCTTCTTTCATTAGGCTGTTCAAATATTTAGGAAAAAAATGAATCCTCATTAAACTAAGGCTTGTTTAAGACAATATCAGCTACAGCTAAGATAAACTGAGATTAAATACAACATTGGAGTCAATATACGAAGAAACGATCATTTATGTGATGAAAATTGGAGATTGCATCATTCCACAAGATGCAGTGTTAGAGATATGAACCATTCATAAGCCTCCACCTAACACAGCTTAAGCTATTTTTTTTTATTTTTTTTGGTACAAACAGCTTAAGCTTTTAAAAGAGTTGGTCCTTGATATTAGAGCCTCTATGACCAATGGGCCAGGAGTTTGATGCTTGTCATCTCCATTTTTAGTTCAAGGTAGAGGGGCCCTATGTTTTGTCCATGCTCCAGTCAAAAGTACTCTCGTGTGACGGAGTGTGCACAGATATAACCCCAACTTAAATTTTTAGTGAAGTTAGTTTTTTTACGTATGTTTAGGTATCTTGGATCCATTTTTACTAAGTAATGGGGAGATGATTCAAGTTGGGGGGATAAAATGGAGAAATGCTTTCGGTGCAATATATTATTGCAAAGTGCTTATCAAACTCAAAGGAAGATTCTACCATGAGAGCAATGAAGATCTATGATATTAAATGTTGGGTAGTAAATTGTTGACAAGATACCTTAGAGTTGTTGGTCTAGTAGCGTTCCAATTAGATCCCTGGAATTGATCTCTCCAAAGGATAGTGGGTTCGATTCCTGAGAGTGAGTTGCAACTCCTGGGGAGGGTGTACAGGCTCAAATCCGAAATCGAATTAGTCGGGTCCGTTTTGGGTTTCGGGCACCAATTGGTATCTATAAAAAAAAAATGTCAACAAGATCAAAATATTAAGTGTAGTGAAGAAGAGATTGGTGAGGTGGATGAGCAGACAAACATACAAGAACAGATAATACTAGGAATGAATATATTTGGGAGAAAATTAAGTAGAATGAGAAAATGACAAAACTCCTCTTGGTCATTTGCTCCATGAGTGGAGAAGACCAATACAACATCAACATCAACAACACCTTTATCCCAAATTAATTGGGGTCGGTGGTAGATGAACCCATATGAAAGATACAAAACGGTTGAAAAAAAGTAAAAAAAATAAAAAATAAAAAATAAAAAATAAAAAATAAATAAATAAATAAAAATACACAAATAAAATAATAAAATAACATAAAATAAAATAAAATAAAAATATATGTATATATAAATAAATAAAAGTAAAAAAGAAAGGGACAAGAAGAAGTGGGGAAATGAAGGGGAAAAGGACTAAAAAAGGACCATCTGGAACATAGGAATAACAGCGGGTCTAACCCTCCACCATACTTATAGTTTTTCTCCATTCCTTTCTAAGACATACTGTCCGCCAATCTATATCCCACTCCATTAAATCTTGTTTTACTACTTTCCTCCAAGTAAGCTTCGGCCTACCTCTGCCTCTTTTTGTGTTTAACTCTTGGTAACAAACTTTTGTTCTTACAGGAGCATCCATGGGTCTTCTCATCACGTGCCCAAACCACCTCAATCTATGTTCTCTCATCTTCTCGGCTACCGGTACTACTCCGACCATTCGTCGAATATCTTCATTTCTTATCTTATCCATCCTTGTGTACCCACACATCCACCTTAACATCCTCATCTCTGCTACTCCCATCTTATGCTCATGTTGCCTATGTGCTGGCCAGCATTCCGCTCCATATAGCATTGCCGGTCGATGAAGTCAATGATTGTAACACCCCGTAGTACTCTGATTGTTACCATCATGATATTATAGCGTACATAGCAGAAAATTTATTGAATGATTAATAAGACGTCTTGTAAAAATACGAATAAACTTTTTGAAAAACATTTTCTGAAAACATTTCCAAAAGCGTTCACATGATATATTACGAAAGCGTAACCTAAAGCATACAACTACTAAATAATCCCATAAGCCATTATTAGTGGCAATTGACTAACCGGATATGACAACAAGTGTCATTCCTGCCAGAGTCTCACGGACAACATAACAGTTGTTTAACGGATAACTGAGAGATAAGAATCTCCCTCCATAATACAATCCTGATACACACAGTTTATAAACAGATAGCTCACAAGTCCCATACGGACTATGAACCCCTCAATGGGTCAATACATACATATTGGCTCCGTGCCCAAATTAATAAATCCATACATCATGTCTATGTGTCCTCATCACATGCATCTAACATAACTCATAATAAATACATCCATAATCCAGAAGCTCAAATAATGACAATCCTGAGCATTATTACACACAACAACATAGTCTCAAAGTAATCTAACTAGGCATGTCAAAACACTACACATGCCATATCACAATATAATAGCGTAAAATAAACAACAGCCTCAATCCACTAATCTGTAGTTGGGCCCTTGCCCCTAGACTGCTCATTACTACCATGGGTACCTGAAATGATATCCCCAAAAAGAGGTGAGATAACATCTCAGTAAGCTCAAGGTTCTAAGAGGATCCTCTAATCCCCTGAGCCCACTTCCTGCATGATAAGTCAAATATAAAGCATATATAACAAACATATAGCATAAACATAGCATCATAATTCATCCTCTGGTTAATTATTCAAGGGCTCTTCCCAAGAATAGCTAACTGACATGTCCCACATGCCTAGTGTGACTCCCAGGGTCAAGCCATAGACAATCAACACAAACTGTAGTATGAAATAACTCTCAGGGTCAAGCCATAGGCAGTTTACATACATATTCATAGCCAGGAACCTCATACCATACACCATCAGTGCATCATCAAAATATCAAGAATCATATAATATCTATATGAATGTGAATGAATATACATACCACATATCACATACTTTCATACAATTCAACCATAATGCCCACCATCATGGTGGGGCCACAAGAGTGAGGAGCAACCAAAACCAGGAGCTTAGCACAAGCTCACACTCCAATATAACACGTATGCTCCAAATAAATCCTTAAGCGCAAGGTTCTCTAGGCACACGTAAAGTAGGAACCATTCACACCATTAATTACATAGTACTTAATCAAGTCATATACAAGACTTAATCATTTAATGATTCCACTTTTCATACTCACGTGCCAATAATATGCCCATTACAAGTCTAGACCATTTATTCCATATTTATATATTTTTAGTGCATTATGAAGTGTTCACTTGTTACACAATCAACCATATAGGTTAAGCACCTTACATAAACTTAGAATCACACTCTAGGACCACTAAGGTAACTTAGATTATTTTCAACACTTCCAAATCATCTTATTTCCTCATGACCGAAATTACATCCTTAGGTAAACCCTAGGTTAGATTTTCAATTTGCAAGTGGATTCAAGCTTTAAACACACTTTAAACCCTAAATCATCCTTAAGTACAATTTTTGCACCTAAAACCACACATGGCCGAATTGTATAGGGTAGTATTCCTTAGGATTTTCTTTCATTAACTTTCATGATTATGTGTTCCTAGACTAGTCTTAAGCCTAGGTTGTTAACTAGCTCCCTAATTAGGTTTAATGAGTAAACCCTAATTAGGCTTGATTAGAACCATAGGTTACTTTAATTTTAGGGTTTTTATATTATTAGGTCACTTATGCATTCACACAGTCACGTAGATCTTAGTTCATTAATTTCACTAATTACATAATTAGTGCTTCTAAACCCTAATTAGGTCCATTTTTAGGGTTTTATAGTTAATTATTAATTTCACTAATTACAGAATTAGTGCTTCTAAACCCTAATTAGGTCCATTTTTAGGGGTTTATAGTTAATTAATACATTATGCATGGTCCACCTCACTTTAACCCTTGATTAGTATCCTAATTAGGTCCTGAACCAATATTTAACATACTAACCCTAATTTGTCCACACTTGGCCGAATTGCATTGGAGTGTAAATTAGGGTTTTTAGCTTAACCACTTCACCATTTCTTTAGTTAATTAAGTCCTACACTTAATTAGTCCACTAACCACTTTTTAATTAAATTTTAAACATAAAATCCTAATTATACTCATTAGGGCAGATTTGACATGATAGTGTCATTAGGGTTTAAATCCATTCCTTAATCAAATTAGTGTTCTTAAGCTCAAAGGTTGCATTTTTAACATTTCCCTTGGTCCCACTTATGATTGTCCACCCTTTACAACATCAAGAACCAATTTTTATCAATTTAAAACATCAACTCCATAGTGAACACATGTTGGCCGTATCATATAGGTGGGTGGGGGAGGGTTTTGGTCACCATTTTTTCAAGTAACTATGCTTACTTCTTCAAGTTAACTTCAAGGCTTTAAGCTTCCACTTTTCTTCAACAAAGATGCATCTTTTCCACAAAGAACACACCTTTAACAAAGACCCAAAGTTAGAACAGAAGAACACATCTCAAAGGTGAGGTTTTTCAAGAAAAGAATTCAAGAACTTACACTAAAACTCAAGGAAATAAACACCAAAGTGGTGTTCTTCAAGGAGTACTCAAAACATCATCTCCATGGCATGGAAATGCTCAAGACCGCTGCTGTTTCGGGAGGGATTTACCATGAAAATTTGGTTTCCAAGAACCAAAATGGTATGTTCTTGAAGAGGAGGATGAGAGGAACAAGTTTTGTGAAGGAAGTTTAGTGATTTGGTGGAGTTTTGATGGTGGAAATCTAGAGAGAAGGATGAGAAAACTTGAAATTCAAAATGGTAGAGAGAGTGAAGGAGGCGCTGCAATGGCTGAATAGGAGGGTGCCCTAGTCTTCTAGGGTTTCGACCAAGTCACTTAAGTGACTTTCTGTCCTTTAGTGACACCCGGTGTAATTTTTATCCGAACTGTTATCAATTCTCTACCCGAAAACACTAAAGACTCTAACTTTAAGTAATTAATATTAAATTTGTTTAATTATCATGTTCCTAACTCAAAAATTTGATTAGTAGATCACAGATCCACTTACTGTTGTTTAATTGCACTGTAGTCTTTACCAGTATTCTTAACTGTACCCGAATTTCATAATTTTTTTAACTTTAACATTATTGGTCTAATTATGACTTGTTAGGCATATATTGGTCTTTCTTTACATTTTCTCATCTTTTTCCCGTTCCGGAATTCTACCGGCCGAAGTGACTTTCCCAAAATACCCCAATATGGGTATCAAACTTCATCAATTCATATACTAACCTCATCTATGATAATCATATCATCAAAATAGCTCTTTAACTCAAATTTGTTAAATTGGAGCTATTCTAGTAACTGTTACTGCGTCAGCAGTAAAAAATAACAGATGAAAATCCACCTGGGTAGAATACTATCACTATGGATATCAAAATTCTTAGAATCTCATCCTCATTCCATTTATGATCCTAAGGTCTTCCTAATAATCCTCTAATTTCAAAATTATAAAATTAGGGTTATTATAATGATGGTCTGATTTAAAGAAATTGGTAGAGGAAGGCGCAAGAGAACTTAAAGGGAAACCATTAAACATGACATTACTTTTAATTATCTAAATGGTTTAATTGAGAAGTGTTTTTCATAGAGCCAAAAGGCATCGACTGATCCATGAAATCGACCCCACTTAGTGGAATAAGGCTTGTTGTCGTTGTTATTGTTCATAACAATATGAATATTATTTGGCTGTGGTTCATCTATTCATTATTATCTTGAGAGCGACATTGAAGGAAAAGCAAAATATAATGAATGAACACACCAAAAAAAAAATCAACACAACAGTGGAATCACCACACTTTTTGTTAACATTAAATAACCACATATTCTAACAGGATACCCAGTTGGCCACATTCAAAATCTGTAAAATTATTTATGAAATATTTGCACTTAAATGTGTTTTCGCACTTGCACTTCCCCACATCAATGTTAAAGGAAGTATCCACTTGGGGTTGTGTCCTCCTGGTTCACTTATCACAGCTGTGACAAGGCATTATTTTCAATTGTAGTGATCCTAGAAGGATAAACTTTGTAGAAATGATTGTTTAGATCTGCCAAGCTGTATAATGAGTGTTATTTATGATGTAACGAGGTAACTATATTTTAAGTTAATAACCAATGTACGTGCTGCAGCCTGCATGGTTAATGGCTCATTTTCCTTTATTTATTTCAGGTTGCAAAAGCTGCAAAGCTGGATAAATCTGAAATTCCTGCAAAGATTAAGTTGCTTCCGGATCCATGGACTCCTGAATCTGGATTAGTCACTGCTGCCCTCAAGATAAAGAGAGAACAGCTGAAAGCCAAATTCATAGATGATCTTAAGAAGTTGTATACATGAAGTTTCTAACCTTTTTTTCAATGTATTATCCAGTGTAGGTGTATGTTATGTCTGATTTTTTAATTTATTTTTTTAATATCAATATCTCCCTGCGAATGCTATCAATCATATTTCTGGTTGATGTATTTTACTGTTTGTAATATGTAATACTTTCACTTGTGACTATACTGGATTGCTTTGCAAACATGAGTTCTTGACCATTAAGCAATGTTCTATTGGTTGTGGGACGCGTTGATATAGTCAATTAGTAATGGCTAGCAGTATATAGTAATTTTTGAGCAGTCATTTCACTTTAAATAGTGTCCATTATTTTTTATTTTTTTTTATTTTTTACTTTTATGGTTCGTAGGTTGAGCTTTTGTTTAGGTTATCAACCGTTTAGGCGATATTAGAGATTCTTTGTTTTGACGAAAGTGGTATTTCTACGTTATGTTGCATCGACACGGGGCATGATATGACATGTTAATTCTAAAAAATATAAAATTTTGACACGTTAGGATACATTTTGATATTATATAATATTTTTAATTTATGTAGTGTATATTATATTTAGTATTCAATAATTTAACAAAAAAAATAAAGTTAAATTTATAATACATATTAATTTTGCAAAGAAACATAATATATTTCAAATATTAACGTCATCATCTCAGTAACATTAGGCGTACCGAGTACATAAATCACCTCATACTTATATTAATTATTATTCCACAAATATGTTTAAATTTGTAGTACACACGTGTAGCAATATTCTTAGCTCAACAAAACTCTTTTATTGAAAGATAATGATGATTAAAGTTATTATAATTGGTCTAGTAGTGAGGGGTTTGAGTAATTTGTATTTGTTGGGTGTTTGATTCCTACCGTTGTATAATAAAAAACTAACGATGATTATGATAGTAGAGTTACCTATTCTATTTTTTTTAAGGCTACTTATTGTGGTAACCACACCAAACATTTTAAATTTATCTTAGCTTTGGATCTTTCAACTTCATACTTCCCTTCGATAGGACATATGTCAATGTTCTTAGGGTGAGCCTCAGGGTTTCTTTTACTTTGTCGCCCTTTCCGTTCACGGCACTAGCAAGGGAGAATTCTTTTTCGTATTCAGTGTTTGCCTTTCATTTTCATGCACATCAACATACTTGGAGGATTTGAACCTTGAACTCGACTAGATTGTTGACCACAGTCTTAAGCAGAGACTGTGGAGAACGGCCCACATTGAAGACAGGCAACAAGGAGGTCCAAGTGCACATTTTCATCCAAGTTGTGGACCTGTATATATTGTTCCTGTATTGAATTAGTTTAGATAAACATGAAGGGGCTCGCCTTCTCTTCATAGATTTAAGACAAAGTATGAGATGACTTCGGATGTATTTTGCTAGTTGTAAAGCTGAGTAAGAATTTATGGGAGAGATCTTTGAATGAGATGATGGAGTGTCGTGGTAGAGTGTTGAACCAATCCAAGGTTAGTTCACTGAGTAAGAAGGCAAAGACTATAGTTGTGTCTTACCTTGTTGCCCCATATTTTCACTCTGGTGCTCACTAATGTGGCATTAAATGTCATCCAAATGTTGCATCAGTAATGCCCCTGCAGCTTGGATATGATCAAGTTAGTGTGCAACAATGAGGGAGTGGGTTAGGCTAGCTGGGCATAGACAAATGTGATCTTTCTTTCACCAACATCCATGTGATTTGCCCCTTTTGCATTAGGGATTGATAGTGGGAATAGTGGTTGCAAATTTTTTTGATCCTGTTGTTAAGATGCATTTTGCTACAATGGCGAGTGGTTGTGTGCTGCACTTCATGTGTTTACCATTATTGGATGAGAATCCAAATATACTGATTCCCACAATTTGTGTCAAAATTCAATTCGATATGATTATGATTAATATCGCATAATTGTATCAACAGTATCTATGGAGAAGATATTCGCGAATGCTGGTATATCTTTGTGCATAAGCAATTGATCTAGACGAGAAGCTTAAGTGGGGTGGTGCGTGTGGGCAATAGTAGTAAATGAGGCAAGAGTTTTAAAAGTGTGTACCTTTGTAGTTGAACCAATTATTTATAAAGAAGGTTTACGTGAAGGTGAAAGTGTTTGAGTAGTATTCAAACTCCTTATTAAATAAAGCGCAAATCTAATAGAACTTATGGACCGTTAAGTGGGTCTAAGACACGTATTCGGATAAAAGATAGTCCAAAGGGAGAGGAAAAAATTCTTATATAACATATGACAAATGGAAATCCCTATATGCCTCAAAGTAGGAGTGGCAATATGGGCTGGCTCGCCCCGGCCCGCCTCGCCCAGCCACTGGCCCGCCGAAAATGGGTTGGCTCGTCCCGGCTCGTTTTGACAAAATGGGCTGAATTGAGCAACCGGCCCGTTTTATGAGTGGGCTGGCGGGCTACGGGCCAACCCGCCTAAAATAAAAAAATTCATAAAAATAAAATATAAAATATAAATTTCTGCATAAAAAATTCTTAAAAATATAAAAAAAATTCATAAAAAAAAATCTGCATAAAATCCTAATGTGCATATGAAAGTCCAACAAAAATTCTACGGGTATATATGAGAAACCATAAGGAACAAAATAAAAATCAAACTCAAATACATTACTCTATTTGAATAATAAAAATTAGTTACATTCAGCGGTGACCATCCTTGCAAAAATAACGAGGTGCCTGATTGTTTGCGTGTGTGAAAAAAATGTTTTGATAATTTGATCTTATTTGATTTGGGTAATATAAATATAAAAGCCGCCCCGTGGCGGGCCGAGCCCGACGGGTTGATGGGTTTGGCGGGGCGTGTTAGGCGGGCTGGTGGGTTGAAAAACTCAACCCACTCCGCCCCATTTGGCAGGCGGGGCGGGCCAGCCCAGCGGGCTCAGCCCATTTTGCCAGCCCTACCTCAAAGGAGTAGTTACTTTATATACTTGAAAAGAAAATAAATTTTCCCAAATAAGTAGCGAAAAAAGGGGAAGACATATCATAAAATAAAAATTATGTCGAATAATAAGTTATAGAGATTGAGTGTCATACGATCCATACTTAACGAATTATAGTTAAATATAGCAAGTTTCTTCTTTTAGTCTTCTTCAAAAAGTTGTTCACAATTTATTACGTTAACCTTTTTTTCGGCAAAAAAATTTATTTATTGCAATTTAATTAAATAATTACGCAAATATCACAGTTTTGGAAATATTTACGCATCTATTGCACATAGTGACGCTCCTTTTTGGCGTCACATGTGACGCCCCACAGGGGCGTCTCTAATGAGAGGAAGACGCCCAAATGGGGCGTCTCTCATGAGGAGGTACTTGTTTTTCCAACTTTTTTTTTTAATTTAATCATAAAACTTCTAAAGGCCATAACTTTTGACTCGAGTATCCAAATCAGGTAATTCTTTTTTTGATTCCACATAACTTTTCGAGATCTACGCAATGACATCTCATTTGACATATTTTATTTCTCACAAACACAATTTTAATTTGCAAGAATGGTAGAAATGAAGAAAATAATTAAAATAGATATTCTAAATTTCTAAGGAAGAAGGATATTATTTTTAAAATTAATGATTAATGCTATAAGCTTCTGGGTTATTATTTGTGGTCTGAAATTAAAGATGGCTTATAAATGTTTTTCAAAAATAAATTTACCTAAATTAGGTGTGATTTCCTCCTGATTGAAACTCAATTTAGACGTGATTGGTAATGTGTTAGGTTTTGACAAGTGTTGACACGTGTCACATTTTTAAACTCAGAAGCCTCTGAGTTCTGCATTTGTGATTTAATACAAAAAATAAATCAAGATTTGATGTGTGATTTAAATTAAAAAATATATTTTTTTTTTATTATAAAAAAAATTTGTTTGTGATTTAAATTAAAAGTAACAATTATTATTAATAAGGAAAACAAAATAAATATTTGATTTGTGATTTAAACTCAAAAATCAATTTGAAAAATCTTTATTAATAAAGGAAATAATTAAATAAATATTCTAAATATCTAAGGAAGAAGGATTACCTGATTTAAATTTAAATTATGTTGGTGAGAAATAAAATATATCAAATGAGATGTCATTGCGTAGATCTCGAAATGTTATGTGGAATCAAAAAAGGAATTACCTGATTTGGATACTCGAGTCAAAAGTCATGGCCTTTAGAAGTTTTATGATTAAATTAAATTTTTTTTTGGAAAAACAAGTAACACGTGTCACCACCTCATGAGAGACGCCCCATTTGGGCGTCTACCCCCCAAAAGGGGCGTCACATTGTGCAATAGATACGTAAATATTTCTCAAACTGTCATATTTATGTAATTATTTAATTAAATTATAATAAATAAATTTTTTTGCCCCTTTTTTTCTTCTTCTTATATTTGCTTAGGATTTAGTCAACTTTTTAATCCTAAGCACACAAGAGGAAAAAAAAGTATTAATCTAACATCTTTAATAGTAATTATTTCCATTACATGAAGCTAAGAGTTTAATAAATATAACTATAAATTTCTTAATTTAGTGTCAATCTTTATTAAAAAAAAACTTTAATAAATTTGAAACTAGTATGAATAAGTAATTATAATTAATTTTATTAGTAGCTAAATTAAATATTATATTTATTCAAGAAAATCAAGAATTTTTTTTTGAATTTGCCGGAGAGAAGAAATCGGAGTTTGAATTAACCCACCAACGGTATTGAAAAAAAATATTATATTTATAATTAACCGAGATACGGTATTGAATTAAATGCTATATATATGTAATAACAACCAATGAAGTTCAAGACAGTGTGTGAGACAGTGAGACTGAGTAACTAACAATCAAGAAAGGTTTCTTCTTGTTCTTGTTCGGAGTTTCCCGCAAAATTTTGAATTGGCTATTGTCCTTGTTCTTCGTTCCTCGTTCCTCGTATCAAAAGAGAAAAGAAAGGTAAGTCAACATCTTCTCTGTGCCTCTTCTCTTTCTTTGTTTGCGTTTTCACAAACCCTGTTCTTGTCCCTTCTTCCTATGTCCCTGTTCTTGCATTTTCAGGACCCATGATTTCGCTAAAGATGTATGATTTTTAACATACCCATGTGGGTAAAATGGCTAATTGGGTTTTTTCTTAATGGTATCTATGTTGGGTCTGTGTTGAATCTGAGTAATGATTGGTGTTGAGATGTTAAAAGTTGTGCTTTTTTTTTTT